CCTCCAAATAATGTAATTTCATTTTCTTTAAGAAAATAAAGAAATTATATCTGCTGGCAAATACCTTCACCAAAATAAGTGATACCTGATTTCCACCTCTGCAAAATCATGGATATAAAGATATCAAAATGTATTTATAGCATTAAGAGTCTCAAAGATATTAGGTCCTTATATTCTCTTTGAGTGGGAAACTAAGATATGATTTAGGTTGAGGCGTTTTAAAGTGGGAAAAGATGACTTAAGGCTTAAGCTTAGGGATTTTAAAGAGTCCTTAATTTGGTTATTTCTGTGATCCTTGGGTTTTGGTTGGAGACTTGATAATACAGATGGAATACACAAAACTGAGTAAGAAATCTGCAATACGCTGCAATAATTTTTTTTTTTTTTCTGGTGCTCGTTTAGGGTGGTTCACCACTCCTGAACAGAAGCACCATCCTGAATCATACCCGTACCACCTTGGACCCCCACATTGATGCATCTCTTCATATCCATTGGGGAGTGGAAAGAGGAACACCCCATTAAAGCAAAAAGGGAAGACAACTTTTTTCCCCTTACACCCACCAGATCCAGCCCTGTCTTCCATATGAACTCTGCTGGGTAATGAAGGCTGGCAGTGAAGTGCTTCTTGATGTGCAAGGAAATTGTGAAGATTTGAATGTGAGGTGTTGGGAGGCACGAGCTAGTGAAAGCTGATTTTGTGAGTTGTAGGAGAGCTCCCCATTGCCACTAGTGTGAAGGACGACCAGGACACTGCAAGCAGGTAGGGATGAAACAAAAAACCTGGGGTCAAGCCACTGATGGTAGACACCCTTGCTCCCACCACCAGCATGAGCTGTTGGATGTGCTGGGGTGGTGGTGGGCCCGGGGCTTCATCCTGAGCCAGGTCCATGTCCCAGCCTGATGTCCCACCACTCCACTGCTGAAGAATAGGGGAAGCAGTGAACTGATGGCAATTTTGGCCAGAGGAGACATGTTAGTGCCCATGTCCCGGCCTAGTGCCAGCCTGGGTAATCACTTTCAGTTCCTTGGCGCTGCCACTTAAACTTCCAACAGCCACCTTTTCCTCCTTTTCCTGCCATAAATCACTGTGAAGCAGTGCCATGAACCATCCAACAGTTCCTGAATTTCACCCAGGAGATTGTTGCACCACAGAGGTAAAGGAAGTGGGCTTGCATGTCAAGATTTTAAAGCAATTTTGGGGCATTTTGAGATAGAAGACATTATTGATGTGAAAAGACAGTTATTATATTTACTACAAAATCCATTATCGATCCCATGAAAACACGAGCAGTGCTCCAAGACAGAGCGTGTACTGCAAGATGAAGTGAAAACCTGGCCTTGCAGGTGGGAGGGAAAGTTTTCCTCGTGATTTCAGGGAGGTGAGGGCTTCATCCTATATTATTTAGGAGCAGTTGAGGCATAATGGTTACGTCCAGCTAATTGGATGCATTACTATAGGCACTTGAGAAATGTGATAGACAGCTACATTCAGCTAGACAGATATCCCCTGCTGTAGCGAGCTAAAGTCAATTACGGAGTTAAATTGTGAAAGATTTGACCTGATGTCATTTATATCTCAAGTCATAATTAACACTTAAAGTTCAACTCTATGGCAATTTTCTTTTAATAACACTTAAAACCTATATAGATCTCAAAGAATTGCATAGACATGATGAAGGATGACTTGAGTGGATGCCAGAATTTCAGCGTTAGTAATTAATCCCCAAAACACCTTTGCAAGACATATGAGTAGCATCATTTCTCTTCAGTTTCTCCTTTGAAGGTAAGCAGGGTTTGCCCAATGCCTCCTCAAAGTCTGTGGCACCTGGAGATAAGGATCGAGGCTCTTCCAGGTGCTAAGCCAGTGAACACTCAGATCAGCGCGGCTCCCATCCTTTTGTCTCGATATATTTTTATATGCTACTATAGTCTTTAGAAAGATTATGGACAAATTGCATGTCAAATGGCCTGCTTCTTCCAATTAGAATCAATGCAAATGCAGAACAAAAGATCTGCCATAAACACAGCTTCTGCTTCTAATATTTTCATGTGGAAGAAATATGAATCTTACTGAGGGAAGAAATGCACTCTTGGTCTGAGACCTTGTAAGCTGAGATTCAGCTCACTGCAGATTTTTATGGTCAAGTTATAACTGCCTGTAAAGCAAGGCTTTAAAATGGAAGTGCTGACAAAACTTTTAAGCTACAGCAGTGGAAATGGCGTCGCAATAATTTATAATCTACAGACAGCTTTGGATTTATTATCACAATGACAAATGCACAGTCATTGTTAATAGGATATTTCCCAGCAAGGACTTCTTGTTATGCAAGCCAGGTTCACTATGTCATGCAGCATGATAGCAATAAAGTCTACAAGAATTTGTAATGAACTTCAATTACTAATAGATTATGGTTAATGGGAAATATGTGCAGTAAAGATATGGGTTTTTATATGCGCCTTCTGGTACTTTACAAGGCAATGATTTATGCTACAATTTATGTTAACATTCTCCAGTACGAACAAAAGCCTAAATTGGTGGAAAGCCACTCCATCCATAACAAATATTTAAGATAATTTTGCACATCATATAAATGAAGATGTAAAATTAGATATTAATCCATTTCATTTTAGCATTTGTATTTTTATTAAAAATGAAGACTTTGCCCTGCTGTGTAATGACATTAAAGAATCCTATCATGGGCTGCAGGCATGAATTACACCGATGTAGAAATGGCGACAGCAACTGAGCTGTAAGTGCATTTGTTCAATTTGCTGTTGTAATTAAGAGAGCAGTGAGAATATTTTTCTATGTGTGATTTAAAGGAACAGCCCTGAAGCTGCTCAGGCAGATGTGCTTGATGTGGAGGGGATATCTACGCGAAGACGGGGCTCCTTTGGAGGGGGTCAGCCTTTTCCTCCCCCTTTTTGCTGTCCCCCAGCCTTCCCACGTGGCATCGCTCCAAAGCCATGCCTCAGCCACGGACACTGGGCTATTCCCTTCCCTGCACAGCAACCCTCCTGTGGGAATTACTTTGGGAAATAATCACTTGACGCAGTATCAGAGCCATGAGCTCACACTTACTTATCAGAGGGACACAGGCCTGGGTGTTTGCATGCTGTTTCAAAGGAGGGTTGTTCTTCCTCCTCCTCCCTCCCTCCCTCCCTCCAGCTGTTTTCTCCCCTACCTGTAATATAATCTGTATATTCCAGGTTTATGTGTCTGTGAAATTAAAAGAAAAAAGGATGTCTCCCAATTTAAAAACACTGTTCAGAAACACCTCTGATGAGCATATAGATGAGATGTTAAGGATTGCATTTGCCCAGACTCACATTTCTGCAAAATGTTTACACTTGATATCTGAAACATAGTTAGCCAGAAAGGGGCATCCATGCATGAAGAACTTGCAGGATCATTTCTGATATATTTTTGATACAGGGAGCCTGACACCCAGCTTGTTTCAATCAGTGTCATGCTGGTTTAAGACCATTGCTCTCAGTGAACCTTTGTGTAAAGCCTCTAAATCCACTTCCTAGGGGTGCAAGCAAGGAAGAACCATCCTGTGGGCCCACACATCCACTTAAGGGTTTGCAAAGACCAAGGCTGGTCTGGAGATGTGTTTTTGGAACAAATTTCTGATGGTTGAGATAAGGCAGATTTTCTGAGAGGAAAACAAGTAATTCAGTACAGAAAGCACACAGGTAAGCTCAAAACTGTTGTATAAATTCCAGTCCATAGACAGGCTGGACTCCCCAAGCATGCTCTGGAGTAGCAGTATCTTGCTGTGCAATTAAGGGTGATTCTCACATGAAGATGTGGTTCTGCAGTCTATTAGGAAGTTTGAGACATTTAGAAAAACTCCTTCAGTTTTTATGGCCAAATGAGCATAAAATTGTGCTTCCCCACACTTGTTTCCTACTAAATAATACTTACAGTACTTCTTGGAAATGCGTGTGTTACGAATTTAAAATTAAAAACAACTTATCCCTTAAGGGTGCTCTTCTGATTCAGTTTTCCCCCAGCCCCTTAACGGAAGCATCTGCATACACAGAATGGAGTTTACGGTATTTTTTTCCCCCTAGTTTTTTAATGAAATTCTCCTCAGAAGCAAAAGCAGTGGCAGAGGACAGCTTTGGCATGTCTGGTTTTAGATAAGGAGTTTTTCAGCCTGGGGTGAAAGTGCCTTTTCCCTCAGTGAATTCTGCTTTTAAAGAAGACCCCATGCAAGACCATCCACCCAGCAAGCTCTCCCTCTGCCCGGCCTCTCCCCTGCCGATTAAAGAAGGAAAAGAGCTCTCATGTACATTCACATTGAATCTTGTTTTTCCATTTCTGTGTGGTCATATCCTCCTCTCTCCTCTCCAGATCATCTCATCTCTGCTGTTACTCACCTTTCCTTCTCTCTCCCAAATTTTCAGCACAAACCCCCTCCCAAAACTCTAAAAAGCAATTTTCTTGTACTTTTTACCTCTGCTAAACCAGAAAACACCAGGACCTGCATGTGCATCTTGTTGCTGGGGTTTGTTGCTGGATTTTGTTGCTGGTTTTTTTTGTTGTTATTGTTGTTCTGGCATTTCTATGGTTCCCAAAGATATGTCAGTCCTGACAGGATTGATGTGGCAATATTCAGCAGCCACCTCCTTCAGACGCACTATTTAGAGATCACTGACAGCACAAAAGAGCTACAAAAATAATTGTAACTTTGGCTCCTATTAGAAATGCATGCAGTGATCTCTCCTAATGAGAGATTTTGTTTCCTGCTTTGGCATGTCACTGTAGCAGCTTACAGATATACTGAGGTCTCCTAATGCAGGAATCTGTACGGATCATGGTGTAAAAGCAGTAATAGATTTTGTTCTGTTCAACAGCTCAGAAATATCATGGAAACATTCTAAAATACAGTAGAATTAATATTTGATCACTCAGAGAAGTGTGTGCTTCAAACAATACACGCTAAAATGAATATAAGCAGCTAATAAAGCATAATACATTCTCTTGTAAATCACTTCAAATCTTTAATAATCTTTATTGTATCAGAAATGTATATGCAAAAATAAAACATAATTTCTTACAGCTGAAGCATTACCTAAAGTAAACCATTTCAACACTGAATCAAGTTATTTCAATGACAGAAATCATACCTGTCTCACTGAATAAACTGAGTATTCAGACTATTACATTCATTCAAGTGATTATATTGTATTCTGCTGAGCATTGTGCCTTGCAGAGAGCATAACACTTCTTAAAACTGTAAAAACTTTTAGCAAGACAAATGCGTCAACTACCAGAGTAGAGACAGCCCCACATGGAGAAGGGGCCAAGCAGATGAAGCACCTTCCTGGTGTACATCCTATACTATATATTGAACAGATTTACCTGACATGACCACATCGAAAATGAAACAAATCCCACCAAAACCTGTCAGTTTGGCATCAGAGTTTATTTTCACATCTTCCCTGCTTGGCTCTTGCTTCCAGGTTAGCGAAAGGCTGTGACCAGGAGGTTTGTGTGTTTAGCTAACAATACCAGAAAGCCCTGTGTGAGAGCAGTGGCTAATTCCTAACAAAAGCTTTGCATCAGGGCTCATTAGTGAAATCCATCTCTCCAGGACAACTATTGCCATTGTTGTGCCTTGACCATATTCAGTCACTTTGCTCTTGCAATGCCAGTATGGACCTGGTCCACAAATAGCTCTGTAGATGAAACATATTAAAAATAAAGTGAAAATTCAGGGAGAGGGAAGCAGTGCCACTAAATGGAGTTGGCTGCAGAGGCAGGAGCAGGCAACCAACACGTGCAGAAGGTGTGAGGAGTCTTTCACTGTAACTGGAGGTATGAGATCTTGAAGTCACAGCAAGGTCAAGAAATCCCATTGAGAAGCCATTGAGTTGGTTGTTCTGTAGAGAGTTTTTAAATGAAGATGATGAAACCACGTATAGTTCTTGATTATTTCTTAGGAAATGGTCAGGTTTCTGCAGTGCCTGAGTGGATGGTCTGACTTACATCTGATTATACTGCATCCATACGATAAAGCACAATTAACTGCTGAGTTACATACGCATAGATTAGTGCAGAATTAATTGGGTATTAAAGCTCACTTATGACAACAGATACTAACATTGATTTCTTAACAGGTTCCAAAAACTATATATCAGTACTGAAGTAAACTAAGCCATTTATAAATTATGCAAAACATATTTCAGCTGTTAACAGTTTGTATCTGACTATTTGCTTTGGATCAAGAAGCAAAAAGAAATTAACTCATGGCTCAATCACTATTACACTCAGGTTGTTATTAAAAAGCACCTTCCCATCTTTTTTTTCACTGCATTCAGGCTTTCTTAACTCTTCCATAACCTGACACTTTAGTTCAGGAGGAGCAGTTTTAGAAAAATCACAAGTTTCTGTCAGGAAATCCAGCAACAGCTCCCCATCCTCGTTCCCTTCAGTAAAGCAGCTCGTTATGTCCATGTAGGATGGGAGCTCATGGAGCTGGTACTTCAGCCCAGCTGAATCCAGCATCTTTTTGATGTCAGCAGAGGAAATGTAAGAGCAAAGATCATTTAAAGGTAAGGCAGACCCATACTTCCTCCACAGCGTTTCCCAGCCACTGGTTCCTGAGAGATAAACAACCAGAAAAAAGTTCAGGAATAAGGGAAAAAAATACTATTTGAACAAATTTTTGATCAGCTGGGTTTTTTTAGCAGTTGTCCTCCGTGAGAGCAAGATGTCTCTGGAGTTGGGACGTGTGTCCTGGGCCATAGTGGACATGGCTGCGTCCCTGTTCCTGTGCCTCGGGGCTGCAGGAGGGGATGGACACGTTTCCTACCCTGGAGCTCCAGCAGCTCCCACTGAGCCCCCAGATGAAGCCAGAGCAGCTCAGTGCAATTAATCTACCGCTCCTGACACGCTGCAACCCTCTGCTTCATGCACACAGGCAACATCTCTCAGGGACATCCTTCTATAGTCCACATGCTGAACATGAGCTTTTCAGTGCCATCTTCTTGATTTAAACTATTCCCTAGGTTTCATCTGCCTGTTTGCAAGACCAAATCCTCTCCTATTCCTTCACCTAATTACTCTGTGGTTGAGCTACACATGAGCTTCATTAAAACACTTATTACCAATAAGCTCTCTGCTACATGAAATAATTGGGTGCAAACCCCTGATTGCATTGGCCGTGCAGCTGAGTGCACGGTGGAGAAAAGGGTGAGATGGGCAGAGCCCAGGATGAAGCTGCACCATCCTCCCTGTGGCAGGTGCACCCGCCCAATGAAATTGTGGCTCCCTGGCTGTTGAACCTTCCCCGTGCCCTTGTTCTCAGGGCTTTATGGTAGTTGGGGTCTTTGGCCAATAGGGGCTCATATTGACCACAGGTCAGGTTGGGCTCCCTGGGGGGGCGTTTTGAGCTTGTCCTGCCCAGAGCAGTGTGTTGCAGGTAAAGGCTCTTGCCTTGGGTTGGAGATGCCACTCAAGGAGACTCCTTGGGGTTCCTACGGGTTGGGATGCTGCCCTGAGATGTTCCTCGAGGTTGGGAGTCCTTCACCTTTTATTAGGTGAGTGATTGAACGTTTTGGGTTGTTGTTAAACCCCTGGTTGGTGTTTTGGGTTGTTGTTGAACCCCAGAAGCTTGTGTGGTGGTAGTTTTTCTCCTCTCACAGACATTTGGACCTGTTGTTTGTGTGTTTGTGGAATGTTGTTTAATTGTGTATAAAAATATATTTTGCCTTTTTTTTTTTTTTTTTTTTTTTTTAATTGTTAAGTGGTTTGGGAGTTTCTGTAACACTCCCACCCTTCAGCTTTCGCTCCCATCACACTCACATGCTGCTGGGCACAGTCAAAGAGAGGGCTGCCCCTCACCCCCAGTAGTGCCGGAAGGTTGTGTGTTATTTGGGTTTGCAAAAATGAAGAGTGAGGAAGGAAAAGGCTCCTGTAGCACCACAATCACCTCTAGAACTGAGCCCATGCCAAGCCCATGCTTGTACATGCACCTCTTTTCAAAGGATGTTTTACAAAGACAGCCAGGTGGGTAAGCTGAAAACTCCCCAGATATGTCTTCACATTTTTATTTTTCCCTCAGCTTGGATCTCTGATTCAGCATTTCTACTATAAATCATTTATAAAAGGATCACCCAGAATGACTGGACAGGATGAAAATAACTTTGAGCTTAATGAGCAGCTCTTGAGAGTTATGACTATAAATCTCCATAACTACTAAAACCAGTTGCTCGGCGATTTTGCAAATGCTTTATCTGCAAACAGTTATTTATAGTCAAATAAACAGTTTGGTGTTTAAAAGAAGGGCTACAATATTTTCTTTCACCTGGTGGAAATTGAATGCAGAGCACTAATTGCAGAAAATTTGCTGGTGTCAGTGTTGTGTGACTCAGTGCCATCTTTGAGCTGAGCAATTATACACTACCTGAACGCAGCATTATTATAATAGCTCTCAATTGGCTCAGCATATGGCACTACTTTTGTTTTCAAGGCGATGTAAACAGATTTTTTTTAAATGTGTTAAAAATAACACCTCATAGCTCTTGCAGCTCGCCTGATCTCCCGGCAGGGACAGAGCAGGAGGGATTGCAACCTTCACCGACTGACCAATCCCTCTCCTATCAATCCTATTCCCAGACTGGTTTTTAATTAACACGTCCTAATGTGTTTGTGTTGGAGATGACATTGCCTTCATTTTTTTTGAAATGAGCTTTGTTCTGCTTATCTTTCAGTATCGCTTTTTGCTTCAGTGCTCATGTTCATAGTACTGCTTCCTTCCCCTCTCTATACTCTTCTTTCCCTCAATGTTTTCTCCTTCCATCTCTGCTATTCTGAGCCCTACTCCTCTCCCATTTTCTTGCTGCCCTAGCAATTTCTACTCCATTCTGTTCCATCAGAAAACGTGAAGTCACCTGGCCAAGAGAAGGCTTCAAATACTTTTCATTAATTCAGATTTTTAATCATATCCATAATCTTGAATAGACACGTGTTCCTCCCTGTATTCACATTTTGTGAATATCCAAAGGGACAGGTTAAGCAACTGGAAAAGAGTTTCAATTAACTATATGCAGGTAATCAGCAATATTCTGATATTATGATCTATTCTCGTTCAGCTAAAGAACAAGAACAGTAAGTCAGACCATTTAAAATAAAGATTTCTTGTAGTGATCTGCTTGAAAACACTTTAAACCAAAAACATTTTGGAGAAAAATAGCTTGAATAAATTAATGTCAGAGAAGCGTCATTTCGTTGTGGATGCTTCATGAACACAAAAAAGGGACTTCATACTTTGTCAAACATTGCAGTTTGCAGACATGGGAAAATTCAATAAAAAAATTAAGCTTAAACCTCCTAACAAATAACATTTAACAACCCTGATAAAGCTATCAGATGTGATTATTTACACAACTAACATTTCCATAGCTTGTGAGGCAAATTAAAGTCTTTCTAGAGCCAAATTAGACCCCACCATTGCAGCACCTCCATCATACCTTGCCCACAGTGCTGAAAGGTTGCCATTTGCTCTGCTCCCACGTTTTCCTGCTAGATTGACCACAGAGCATCTCTTCGAGATCCGAAACAGCCTAAGAATGTTGTTTTCCATGCAAAAGGATGATATTAAGGAAATGGGCAGGAAAATGAACCATATGTGCTCTAACACCTGCTGTACGGCACAGCCGAGCCCTGTCGCGGCCGTTTGCTTAACGCCGCAAGTCTCCACGCGCGAGAGAATGCCATGCCCAGCCCGAAAAGCCTTTTACAGAAAATAACAGAGGCTGAAGGAGTGGGAGCTGCGGGACGGAGCCTCTCGCCTGCCGCCGGGCACTGGCCAGGCTGTAGGATGGGGAAGGGCAGAGGGCGGTTTGTGCCCAGGGCGTGGGTTTGCTGGCTCATAAAGCCTTCAGCTCTGCAACCCGCAGCGTGGAGCTGCGCAGGTATGGGCGGCGTGCGGATTTCGATGGATGAAGATGAGTGGACACCATTTATTACGCAGCCAGTACACCTCTGTAAGGTGGTAAAGGATGTTGTAAATAAAAATGTGCCTTGGTTTCTAGCTGGCCTGTGCTGAACTTGCAGGAACCCCAAAGGTCTTCCTGGCTCTTGCCTGACCGAGCAGCGCTGGTGGAGCAGCTCTCACCTGACACCAGGATAATGAGGAGCTTTGCCTGTGCTTCCAGGAGGCTGTGGAAATACCGGAGAGTTGCTGGGATGTCTTTCACATAATACAGCATCTGGAAAGAGCAGAGATGCTTACAGAGGTACAGTGCGGTCCTGGTGAATATTATACCTGGTACCATCAGGTAAAAGAAACCAAATGGGGGCAATCTTGACAGAAAAGCAGCGGGACAACAAGACAGAAAAGCACCGTGCCAGGCAGTGGGCTCACACTGCATGCTCAGGGTTGTCACTGCCTTGCCTGCTTGCTGGCTCTCCCAGGACCAAGCTCATGTTCATTCATTAACCTGAGAGAAAGAGATTTGCCTTTCTTAGCAGTGGAGATGGCTTGTAAAAGCTTCAGTAAACTTGGAAATACAAAGGCAATTTCACAGAGAGGACAAGGGGCTTGAAAACACTAGTTAAAATGTATTTTTAGTTGACTGCCACCCACAGCCTGGTTAATAGGACTACTGTGCTCAAAGTTGCTTTGCCACAACTCATCTTTCATTTTTGCAGTTCACTTATGCTTAAGTACTTTAAATTACAGGGAAATAAACTCACCTTTCTTCCCCTTAGAGTGGATAATGAGGTCACATACTTCATCCATACTTTTAACCGCTACGTCTTTGACAACACTTATTTTGCAGAGATTTTACCTGGATCATGTGAATGAAGTCCCATTTTTTAGACTTCTTTTCTGCATTCATTCGACTTTCATATTCATAAGCTGTCTCCTCATGCCAGGTAAACTTTATGTTCTCAAGGTTTGATGTCTCAGCCACACGCTCTGAAATACAGGAGAGGGCAGGACAGAGTTAATCTCAATTGCAAATATGGGACCAATTTCCATTCAGAGCTTTAATACATCCAAAAGTCATATTTAGGTAGAGAGTTTTGGTACCAGTTTAACACAGCAGTGGAATATTTAAAACCTTGAGCCCGTTTGAGAGAAGGGGGCTGCAAAGGTCTTTGTAGGATGAAGTCTTAGGAGGGTCTGATGCTTTTCCCTTTGCACCTTCATTTGGGCTCCTCCAGTCTTCACCTGATTAAAAAAAAAAGAAACTAACTCTTCCTCATGGCTGGCTCAAGATGAAATAAAAGATATTGAATGGGATAAACATTTATAAGGTCACGAGCAGCACTTTTCATGCCAACTGGGAGAAGAGCTGATAGCCCCTTCACTTAGATGCCACACGAGACACATGCGGCTGAGCAGAAGTCAGGCCGAGGTGAAGGATTTTCCAGAGACTGAACGAATTAACACAGGGGCTCAAGGATGGATCGTATTTTGGAGAGCAGCACAAATAAAAGCTCAAGAAGGGCAGAGAAAGCAAATGGTTCACTCTGGGAATGTGCCACGGGCATGGTGGGAAAGGGAAGGAGCTTTACTCTGTGAGCAAGGACCCATCTCTTGACATCTGGCTTCTCCTGCGTTCAAATAATTTTTCAAAAGCCCACAGTTTCAGCCAATTGCTTCAGGTAAAAGGGATAATAATGTTTTCAAGCAAAGACTAGTATAAAAAGTGAAACATGACATGTTTTCCGACCTCAACGCAATGCACATCCAGCAATTGAGGAAGTGGACCCAAGGAATAAGTTACACCGAGGGCCCGGCTCATCACTGCATTTCTTTGCTTTCTGTGGGAGCAAAACTGAGAGATAATTTCATAATTTAGGGGATGCCGGAATACTAATGTCCATCTGCTGGCATATGGAACTCATCTTACTGCGCTCCTGCCTGGTGCTCGGGATTGCTCCAGGACAAAGCTAGCCCTGATTTGATTCCTGTGCTTTGCTGGAGTTAACAGAAATTTAAAACTTAAATGGCCTGAGGGCAGACTGAGCCTTAGCTACAGAACACATGTTCAAAACAACACGATTTGCTAAGACCAGCGCCTCTATACCAATAACCACAATGTTTCTCCTTTTGGGCTCTGATTAGGACATATCCCTGTCGGACAGATGAGAAATGCTCCATCAGTGCTTATCTCCTCTCTTTTATGGCTGGAAATGGGCCACCCCTTTCAGATGCTGCTGCTGTTATTCTGTTCGCTTCCATTTAACAGTGACTGGTCTCAGCGCTTGCAGTTCAGATTTAATTTGCCGTTTTAAACTCAGGCTTCATTCAGCAGTAGTTCATATCACCATCACAAATAATCTGGTGCAATCTGGTTCAAATCAATTGTTAGACAGTCTGGAGGCACTATGAAGAAAACTGAACTGCTTGTCAGGGTAGGTTATTTTCTTCCGGATTCAACCCAGATTGTTGTCTGGGTCAGAAGCTGGTCTCATGCCCTGATGGGTGCCATCAAAACTGGACTGCTTACTTTTGTGCTGTGCCGTGCAGGTAAGTGTTAACGTGACTCTGCTGTGGGGCCACCAACGCTCCAGCCGTGGTCACCAAGGGGCTTCACCTGGCCATGGACCAGGAATGAAGGAAAACCACAGCCTGGCCGTGGGGCTCTGAAGAGAGCCTCCATCGTACAACACAGCCGAAGAGAAACCTCAGTTTCTCAGCACTGCATACCCCAGTATGAAGTTTCTCTTGTGAGCCTGGCTTCTCCTTCCCAAGGAGAAAATATCTGGGTAGGCAGAAAACATAACTAGTGAATCCTCAGAGGCATAGATAATGTTTCCAATTCTCCCTGGAAAATCTTAGGGCTCAGAAACCTAATTAATGATACCTACTGGGGACATGATTAATTACCAAATAAGAAAGTTTAAAGAGAGAAATTCAGATTAATATTTCATTTCTAGTTTAGCATGAAACTTAAAATAAGGACAACATCTCACATTTTTGTTAACTTTCTTTAGGAAAGAAACTCACTGAAGTAGGATCTGCCAGTTAATAGGTGGTAGGCAGTAGGATCACTAGGAAGATTCATCACAAACCCAGTCCCACACAGCCTACGGTCCACGGCCCAGACAGGACAGAAATGCTGTGTGCAAGTGTCCAAACTGTCTTATAAACAGAGAAGATGATCTGTTGCCCATCCTCACCGTCTCAGCCTGGAGCAATGTAAAAGCTCCTGGGATTTTGCATGAGCCATCTTTTCAAAGACTAGATCTATGTAATACAGAGAAAGGTATAAAAACCTTATGTGTTTCCTGGGAGCCTTTGGTGCTTCCAGTGACTGAACTCCCCTACTGCAGGGAGAAAGGGATTGTTACTTTTTTTGTTGTTGTTTTGTACTGGGAGTTCTTTGTTTTTAAGGACTTAAGCAAGAGTAGGAGTTGGAGATTTAGTGTGGCTTCACAGTCTGGTATTTACTAGGGTTTGGAGCATTTCCAACAAGGCAGACTGTTGGCAAGGTTCATTTATTACTGCCACGACCACTCAGCAGCTGTTTTCTGGCAAGGTGTGCTCTGCTCAGGGCTGCTCACCGCCTGTGCGGTGTAGCTGGTGTCACCTCCACACAACACCACGACTACCTGCTCAGGTAAACCCTGGTAGATGTTAATCCAATGATAATATAACTGTGTACTGATATTTAATTCTCACTTTGTAGGGCAATTTCACCAAAGCACTCCTGCTAACATTCAGTCCTCCTTGGGAAATTCTTGGCTTTCTTTCATGAATGTTGCTCAGACCTTTGGGTTGGTGGAAGAAAACAAGTTCTAAGCCACAGACCACACAGCAAAAACCTTTCCTATCTGTCTTGCTTTCCTTTCCATGTTTTTTAATTCAGATGATGGTAACTAATTTAGTGCAACACTGTGAAGTTTAGCTATTTGTTATTTGGAAACAATTTTAAAGATATGCAAGAATTACCATGAGACACTAAAATTTTCCCTTTGATGTTGAGGAAGGATTCTGTTTCAGTGCAAGTTGAAGGAGGAAGACTTTCTGAAATGTGGGGATGTTACTTCATTCCCATAAAATCATCCATCAGTTCCCACCTTGCTTAGCATTCAAAGTCTGTCTAGCCCAATTGTTTGAAACGCAGAGTTCTTTGCAGTGGGAGAGACTAAGATTTTAGTGAGACTGAACGTTATTGAAAAGCAATGATGGCAAAAAAGCACACGATAGTGACTTTTTTAAATTTTAAGAGCTGATTCTGACAAGAAAGTATTTGAATGTGAGGTCATCCAACACTCAACTCTTTTTAATACATTTAGCATATTTAATATAAATTTAATTTATTTAATGTAAAAATACCTTTGTACTTGAAGATTTGGTCAGCACTTGGCTCTATCACATCATTATTAATGGTGACCCCTGGATATCTGGCTTGCACTTTTGAGAGGATCAGCAGGTCAATCTCACCTAGGGAAGCAAGCGACACAATACAAGATGAGACCAAAGCTCAAGCAATTATTATCTCCACCATCATCACATTTCCAGTTTTGAAGATTGATGCCTGCTATTCATGTACAGAAATGTACACTACAGGTAGATGCTTTGTACTCTCAGCAGATTGCCACTGAAGGTTTAGCTCTAGAATTTGAGAAAAAATTAAGTATCAGTCCCAACTATCTTAATTCCTCCACCCTACCACCACCAGTGCCAAGGGAAAACCAGACACAGTCATGCATGTGGCTTGACCCTGTATTTTCTGGACATGGCCTAACCTCCCATGGAATATCCTAAAGGACTCTGATGGTACCACTTCTGATGGTCCCGTCACTAGTGAACTTGGCAGGATTTCTTAGGAGTCAGTAAGAGCATTTTTAGCCAAGCACCTCGCTGCTTACCAGGTCATGTGAGTGAGGGAGAAGAGAATATATGTTTACACTGGACTCAGAAACAACATTCATGTCTGTTTGTCTTTAGAGTCCTGTGACACTTTCCATAATTATGATTAATATTGCACATACTGTTTGTGTTTATCTAACCCCTACTTACAGAATACCCCAGAGCTGACTGTGCTTTTTTTTTTTTTTTTTTTTTTTTGTGAGGAATAGTTCTCTGTGGACACTGTTCAGGTCAGCATCAATTATTTTACTGTTGGAAGTACCAATAGATCCAACATTTCAAGATTTAAAAAGAGCTGCCATAGCTCTCTTGGCCACCTCTCCCCACCTGCAATATAGGAAGCTCAGAGAGATGTTGGAACAAGAGCTGTTGGAACTGGGGTGTGGTTGGAACTAGATGATCCTTAAGGTCCTTTCCAACCCAAACCATTCTGTGATGTTCCTGAGTGAGGCATAGGGTCCAGCGACAACATCACGCTGGCTTGCTTAGTTTTCTTAGGGCTCACTACTGCTGATTGTGCTTGAATAAATTTTAGGTGGAAAAAATAATAGAAATATAAATTAAGGTAGAAAGAGTGAAGCAGGGGGTAACTGTGGTGAATAATAGATCCAAGGGTTGTGTTACAGAGAAATAGCTTTGTCCTGAAAGAAATACCTGAGCTTGCACGCAGCTCCATGTTATAAAATTCTCTACAAATGATTAGAAGATCACTCAGCAAACCCTGATGGCCAGACAGGCTCTTGCTGAGGGACTGGGATGGGGGGGGACACACACACCATTATATTTGCACAGCGTCTGCCTGTCCTCATGATTTTCAGTGCCCCTGGGTTCCACTTCAGCATTACCTCCAATCCTCAGAAGATTCTGAGGTACAACAGGAAAATATTCGAGATTAAATCGCCGTAACAGGTTTCCCAGAGCTCAAGCCAGCACACCAGGTCCTTCCCTGGGAGGGTCTGTTTTCACTATGAAGAGCTCTCTGCCTGCTTCTGGCCCCACCACACATCACCACGGGTCAAAATCAGGCACCCCAGCCCAGGTCTCACCTGCTCCTTAACGCCCTGAGAATTTAACATAAAATGTGAGGACGAGTTCAATTCTGTCAGACTTACATGTCTTTATTAAAGCAACTAATAACACCAACGTTTATGTGGCATCTGTGCAAGCACATTCTTTGAGGGGGGGGAAATTGAATTTCTGAAGTAGCAGAAAAAGCTGCAGCTTTGCGATCACTGAAAACCCTGTTTTGCATTGAAAAATCAGAGCAAAGAGTTGTCTGCAGGCTGCCGTAGTAAAATTTAGGAACACAGAATTTGAAACGAACTACTGCAATATTTTGATTTTTGGTCGCTTTACCAAGTTTCTGTAAAATGAATTAGTCCTTTGGAAAGCTGTGTAGGTCCTGATAAAAAAAAAAAAAATAATTGAATTTTGCATTTCCATATGCGGATAGGTTAATATATTCCATTCCACTCTTCTGTTGCCAAACCACACTTGTATTGTTTTTAACCAAAAAACCCACCCCTTTGATTCATAATTTAATCCACAGCCTTAATTGACTTCAGTTAGCTCTTTTATATGCAAACAAGTGTCCTGAGGCATTTTACAGTCAAATCTGTGGCAGCTTGCATTATCAACAATTTGGCAATTAGGCTATCCAAATTATTTAAACTCTCCAACACAATTACCTTTTAAAGGCTACCACTATGTTCACCATTAAGTTTCTAATTAAACATTTTACGTAACGGGATAGTTTATAGCACAGTTGCTACTTTATAGCAGCGTTGATGACTTTTATGGTTTTTAAAGGTACAGAGTGCTGCGCGCTGGAGTGTGAACTTAATAAGGCAGAGGCTGTAGGCGAAGGCAGGCGCTGTAGATGGGCGGGTGTAATGGGATATGATGCTACATTAAATGGTTTGCTTGTCTCTTGAGGTGGAAAAGTGGAAAGGAAACGCTTTCCTTGTCTCTCGAGGTGGAAAAGTGGGAAGGAAACGTTTTCCTCCCATTCTCCCTCCCTGCGAAGTGCAGGAGCAGATGGGGCCAGGGCAGCAGCTCCATTGCTGCCCTCCGACATCAGCCAGGGTTAGCTGGGCGTGTTTGGGAATTTTCTTCCTCCTGACCTTCCGAGGACCCATGATGGGAACAAGCCAGCAAACAGCAGGGTTTTGGTGATTTGGTGATTTTTACATCACAAAATGAGCTTTGCCTGCGCCTTATTGATTGAATGCCCATCATGCTAAACTGGACTATCCCTGCTTAGGGAGTTAAATACCTCACTAACTGAAGTTTTCCTGTTAAAAACAACATATTTTTTTTGTCAGAAAAATGGCTTCCCTTGTTTGGAGAGCAATGTTCCTACTCTGTCACACTGTCTGATAACTAACGCCCACCATTTACATACAATTATTTTTACTTATTAGGAGAGATTGACAAAGCTGAGATTAGTCTTTGGAGTTGTTATGACTAAACAATTTAAACTAAATTAACTGTCCATATAAAATTTAAGTTTGATGACTTAATGGGCAGAGCAGAATTAGAAAACAGCCTTTAATTATGGGGGAACTTAAGCAAGAATTTAATGAGAAGAAGCCACTTGATGTTATTGTTATTGTTTTTCCACCCAGTGAACTTCAGATAAGAGACTTATTTCTTCTGATTTCAGCTCCAGTGTTTTGGGGGACAGTAGCTCCAGGAGGGGCTTGTGCGCTGATTTTGATCAGCAAGTTCTTACAGGAAAAACAGAAGTCAGCTGAGATTGTCACGTAGCTGGGCAGGAGTCAACAATGATGGGGAGTTACCACGTTAATAAGCAGTTGCAGGGGAGAATAATTGCAATAGGAGTAAAAACATAATATTCTGAGGGATCTAAGAACTTATGGCCTTTTTTTTTTTTTTTGCATAGAAACACTACATGTCAGTACAAGCTTCTCTTTGCCCGCAAGGAGCGACGGTGCAGAAGGAGGTTTATCGTGGAGGATGTACAAGAATCAGGGTGGGTAGGCACAAGCTGTTTTCACACGATGTGGCCATACACCAGCTAATGCCATCTGCTCTTGGAGCTGACTTTACAAGTAAAAGCTTATTTCCTGCTCTGCTCCTTTCTGCAATTTTGATCCTCTGTTATTTGAAAAGAAGGGAAAAGCACATCAACATTAAAGTTCGTAACATACCTGCTCCACCACCCACACTGAGAATATTGATTGTAGACTTCCCGTTTCCAATACTGAAAAACAGTATTTATACATTTTAGGAGAGTTACCCAGTAGAGAGGGTTACGTCCATTTTGTGAAGCACCAGCGATCCCGTGAAAGCTAAAATCTGCAGGACAAAAGCAAATGCAATGTGTGCGTGTACAGGCATGCCTGAGAGCTGGCAGGAGGGATCAGATTCATAACTCTGCTCCTTGGAGACTCCTGATTCCCAGTTATTTTGGCAATTTGTAGAGGAGTTCTGCTTTTATTGCAAGTGCATAGAAGCAACAGCAGATGCATGCCTTCACCATGCTTGTGCTTCAAGGACCAGAGACCTCCCTGAGTCTGGAAAAGCAGCTTAAAAATTATTTGTAGAAAGTTTTATATTTTGCAAAATGGGGAGGAAGAGAGGAGAGTGTAACATCTTTAAAATCCCTTAACGAGGCTTTGGCAGAGCCATAAAACCCTGAGCCCAGAGAAAGGCCTCCCCAGAACCAGGATTTGACCCCAGCTCCCTGCTGCTCGAGGCAGCCTGGAAAGCGAGGACGCCAGCAAAAAACACGCAGCAAGCAAAGCAGGAGCGTTATTTACACATACGAGAGAGACCCTAAATATTAACTGAAAAGATTACTTCCAAAAGACGCTTTCGATCAAATTTAATGTTAGAACATAATATCTGTCGCTACATTTTTCACACGTTAAGAGTTAATTCAGGGTCAGCTGTATTTGCATGCAAGGAAACAATTCAGCCTTATCTCCTCCCTGCTAGGCAGGCTCCGTCCGGAGGAGCAGCCATTCAGTAGCGTGTGTAAATGAAATCTCCAGCCAAGCCCTATCAGAGACCGACAGACAGGGAACAGCAATCTGCCTCTCGCCCGCAGCCCCTCGAGCCTGTCACCGCTGCGGGACCGTGTCCTGGGCTCTCCTTCGGCTCGAGGTGGCCACCTCCACGCTACCTTGCTATCACGGCCGGCAGCTGCTTCTCCACGAACTCCCGCATGCTCTGGTGCTCGGTCGAATTCGCGAGGAAGAGGCGGAAAGACTGGAGGTATCTGGCGGGGTCGCTGAGCAAGCTCCTCATGGGCGATGCCATGGTGGGGGTCGGAAGGGCGCAGGAGAGGGAAGGTGTGCTCCCTGTAGCTCTGCTTTCAGACCTGGTGAAGGAACAACAAGAACCGGAGAGGTGAAAACCAGCACCCGCCTGGACTTTGCTCCACACTGTTGGCCCTGGTACTGCACCTTGGAGCACTTAAAAATGTATTATGCAATTTTGCAATAGAGGCTGTAAATCAGTTCTGCAGCAAAGGGTAATATATCATCTTTAATCTGCACAGAGGAAATGCCAGCATTTTTTAACTGTGCTGACACAGGGCTCTCTTAAAAACCCGGTAAAAGGGTCTTTAGATGGTTCTTAAATAAAAGAAAAATTCCCTTGTTTCTTGAAGGCATGGAGAGGCTCCAAAGACTTGGTCTGGATTAGAAGAAATTGCAACACACATCTCCAGAGATGCTGGCAGATGTCTCTATCTGTTTTTTTAATCTTTTGATGTTCTTAAAGGGAATGTTGATGGTGGGGTGAAAACAATAAAAACCTTATAAATGCACTCTTTATTTTTCCAGTTCCTCTGAAGATAATGGTATGATTCCCACAGGCTAAGTAGTTAATTCACAAAAGCCACGTGAGTTACTGGAATGGCTGTTTTGCTAAACCTGGCTTACAGAGTCGGGAATGGAGGAGGCAGAGTGTGTTACCGGGAAACATCGGGCTGTACCTTAAAAAGTGCAACAAGACGTGTTCTGTTCCCCTTAAACCACAGTTTAAGTCCATCACATCTTGTCCTAACTGACAAGGAGACAGAGGAACCCTCCTCCTCCTCACACATCCCGTGCTTAGGGACCACATTGCGTCTCCCCTGTGCCTCTTACAATCTCCTCTGGGTTTCCTGCAGAGGTTACATCCCAGCCACTTCTTGTTATTTTTATTGCTCCCTTTGGACTGCCTCCAGGCAAGCTCTGCTGCTGTTGAAGTGCAGCAGCCAAGGGCAGAAACCTCCCACCCGCTGACATCCCTGGCTCCCAGCGCAGCCGGGATGGCTTCCCTCGCCCCACCGAGACCCCGCACCCCTCGTCTTCGCTCGCCAGCATGACTACTGAAATACAAACCATGGGCTTTTCCCAGACTACCTGTCTTGGCCCTTTGAGTTATAATTCTGTCTTCTGTTGTGCTTAAGTCCCTCCCAGCTGCACATCAAATAACAACAGCCTTGTCCCTCCTCCAAATCATGAACAAAACCACAAAAGAGCAGCGGGCTCAGGTTCATACTCATCATTACCTTCCTTTCTGGCAGTGAACTGCTGATCTCCACGTTGCCTGGACAGCCCCTTACTCTCTTTCGGGTACTCACTCCTTCCTGATGGATGATTTCTAGGGGCAGCCATCATGCTGAGCAACTGCAGTTTCCCAGCTCCTCCTCCTTTGCCCTTTTCAACAATAACATAAGTTGCTTGGCTTTCCCAATTTCAGTTGCTGCTCATGCGAAAGATAACATCCAAGTCGTGACATGTTTTGGCTTTGCATCGCATGGGCCACATCTCTACACATCCCAAAGGCTCCTGCAGGAAGATGCATGGTGAAGGTTGGCGGCAATGCCCCTCCTCCAGCATGTGTTGCTACCAGAGCCATTAGATCAATTAGCAGTGCCTGGTAATTGCTGTTCTTGGGACGATCCCAAAGACCAGCGATGACCTCTGGAGCAGACCCGAAGTGTGATTTTCCACCCATACCACCGCCGAGGCAGACCCAGCTTTTGGCACCCTCCCTGTTCCCCACCCTCTCAGACAGCAAGGGTGCTTTGAGGGGAAAAGAACAGCAAAACCAAGTATGTTAAAGAGCAATGGTGAAAAAGGCCTGGTAGCAAGTAGATGTTTTAAAATCTTTGCAGGGTCCCCGTTGACCATGAGGGCCAGTCAGTGGCATGGGAAGGGGACGGTCCCCACCACCACAAATTCCAGCCCCCCTCCCGCCTGCTTTGGTGAGCCTGGTGGTGTTAGATAAGGGAGGCGATCTGGCAGAGAAACAGACCTACAAATTGCAGCTGAATTGGCTCTGTTAGGTGGAGGACGATGGCTCAGGCTGGCAGGGCAGTTCACACACACACAGACAGACAGACAGACACACTGCCCACGCGGCTCAGCCGCCACGTGTGAGCCTTGGGCGGACAACCCCTCCTTTTCCCAGATGACCAGCATTCAAATCTCCATCAAAATCTGAATTAACCCCGGGAAACCAAGTATGAAGTTAGCCAGAGAAAGTAAGGAAGGAAACACCCGGACCTATGTCAGGTGAGAATTATTCACTGCTAACCCAGCCTGAAAATAAAGTGGTATATTCCTTGTTTACTCATTTCTCTGCTCTGCCCAACTCCACGCTTCTTACTTTAAGTGCATAAAGAGGCTGTGCCATTTCCCACTAACATATTTTACTACTTTCAACCTTGAAAAAAATATTTTGCAGTTAATAAGAAGGGATTTAGATAATCGACCTTTTTTCTATGCCTCCCTTTACTTCCTGTGATTTAATTTGTCCACATCCTCTGCTCGGCAGACTCTAATGAGCAGCTGAGATTCATTTTCATGTTAGGTGCAGTTCAAGAAATTTGTCTCATTTATTTCATTACGCTTTTGGCTGTTTGAATTTGCCCCATTTATTTCATTATGTGTTTAGCTCTTTGAATTGCAGCCAGTTAACTTTAAAAATGAGTAAAGAGAAGGAAGAAAAGTTTTGTGTTTTTTTTTTTTTTTTTCTGAATCAGGCTGATAGAAACTTTTAGATAATAATGTTCACTTGGGCATGTCCCCTTCAGCGACAATCCAAATTTATAAATAGCTCACTGAGAGATTGAGAAGTTTTGAAAACAGACTCTGTGTTTACGGTGCAGTTACTTGATCCACCCCCAGTTTGTGCCTGCGCTGGCAGAATTAAACCTGCTTTAAACTCACCGTCAAACCCGCTAGACCTTCCCCGGGGAGCCTGGCAGCAGAGCGAGCGTGCCTTCCGCCGCAAACTCTCTGCAGCGCGATCCCGGGTTTACTCGCACCGGGTCACGGCTCGTCGCCCGGGCGCCAACAAAACCCGGGTCCCTCCCGGAGGGGCCGAACGCGGCCGGCGAGCCGTACTTACGTGCGGGGGGGGGGGGGGGGGGCTGTGCCCCCCGGGACCGCGGGCTCCCACGGCGCGATGCTGCTGCGGAGCTCGGGATGCGCCCCCCCCCCCCCCCCCGTCCCACCCACGGGGCCCCCACGCGGGAGGATTTTGCCGCCGGAGCGCGGAGCGGGCGGTGCCGGAACCTCCCGCGGCCGCAGCTGCCGGCGGAGGCGGGGGGGGGGCCGTTTGCAGCCCACCCCCCCCCCCCCCGCGTGTGTCCCCCCCACCCAGATGTGCCTGGCGTGGCCACCGGCACCCCGGGACCGTTTAGACACGGAGATCTATCCAGGTGGCGATTAGAGCCCGGATGAAAAACAAAGCCCTGCCACCGGTATATGAGAAATGCGACTCTTGACAAATTGGAAATAGTTGTCTCAGCGTGTGGCACGCCGCAACGTACCGTATCACTCGCAGTTTGCCTACAGAAGCCTACCGTTATAGATTACTTGGCTTTTTAGTTCATTTTCTTGCCAGCAGCTGAGATTTTGCTTATCCCTTACTTTCCAGGGCTTAAGCAGTCGGAAGCGTTTTCCAAGCTGTTTGCACCCTCCGCAGCCCTGTTAGCAGCAGTTTTATCCCAGGGGACACCAGCATGGAAAAAAACCACTGCCCCATGACTGCTATCACACTGTGATTTGGTGTTCAGAGCCTTAATAAAATATTTGCCCGTGTGTGCCTCAGATTATTCATTGTTCCTTCACGTTTAGTGAAAAATAAGTTTTTGAAGTTAAATGAAGTTTCCCTTCTGGATTCAGATGGAGAAATGAACTGTTCATGGAGAAATGTACTGTTCACATTGCAAAAGTCATATGAAATAATACCAGTAACATGAATAATCATGCTTTCAAGGGCGCAGTTACAGGAAAAATGGCTGTAGTTTGACATTTAGCTGAAAGTTTACTGAAATAAAGATTTCATATCAACAGTTAAAATTGCTCAGCTAGAACAATGACCATGTGGGAAGGCAATACCCACTGCATTATTTTCTCTCTATACACAGCACCGTTTCCAAACCACTTGGAGGGAAGGAGTTACAAAGCCCTTCGCCAAGGAGTGAACCAAGACCTGAGTGGCCATGGTGTTTTGCTACCTTCTGCTGGTCCCTCGGAAAGAGAGATGCCAAAGCCATGCAGGAGGGACAAGCAGCCCCACAACTGCTTTGCCATTTCAAATCGGCAATCACAGCGTTGTTTGCGAGAGGCATTTTAAGGAAAATGAGACCCCAGCTACTCTGTCAGACAGCCATGAACCAAGCCAGCTTCTCTTGGCTTGAAGACTCCCAGCAAATGCTAATTCTCCAGCAACAGCTCCCACAGGGTGTGGGTGCAAACCCTGCTGCAGCGACAGCTGTGTAACACTGTGCAAAGCCCTGTCCTGGCTCCATAACAGCGATAAGCACCACTGTTCAAACATAACTGAACAGCAAGGTCAGTGGTGTTTTCCTGGTTTTCCTTGCAGTTCTGGAAATCCAGATTAATTGGCATCATCAGAGCTGTGCAAGTTGGTCAAAAGAAAATAAACTCAGTGCATCTGGCCTGTGTTTTTCTCCCTCTGCAATCCACTAAAAATTAGTTTTCCAAGTGCCAGTTGCCATTTAATATGAACGCCTAAGTTTAGAGAGCCAAAAAGAAAAATTATATGCATCTGGTGCTTTTAAGTGCTTTATGAAAATAAAAGATGTTGCTGTTCATTTCCTTCTTTAATTTCCCCTGGAGACATATTCTGCGAGCTTTAAGCCAAATCCCAGCCCTTTCAGTTCGATGTGGGCTCGGCACTGCCCTGGCACAGGGTAATTTGGGAGGGGGAATGAAGCACCATTGCCTAGACCTTACTTTCCTTGCCCCCAGCACTTCTCCTTCCCGATGGTGTCTATATGCTGTGCTGCAGAGGCACCTGCACCCAGGGCAGGGCTGTGCTGGGCCGGAGGCTAAAGCCATTTGAGAAGGGCAGGAACCAGGCCAGGGGCTGGCATCACTCTGCAAAACGAAATCCTGCTGATAAGCTGGTTACACCACCCTCAGGCAGACCTACTGTTTTGTTCATTAATGAATGTATACGCAGTTTAACATCAATATTTAGAAAAGAAAAATCACCTCTCTGTGCCATTTTACCATGCATCCTCCTATATACAGCAGTGTCCTAGATGGCAGGAAGCTGAGTTACTGAAAGGAGATCCCACAAGTCTTGAGGGCATCAATATTTGGGAAATAATAGCTACTGTACATTAAGCATCTCTCTGTCACGACAGCTCAGGGGACAAGTCAGAAATCTGTAGATACTGGCTTAACAGTGATGTGGTATAATATCAAAACACAAAGCTGTGAGTAAGACGAGTCCACCCAGAAACCTGGCAAGGACCCAAATAGTTGTCACTGGCCCCTTAGGCAAGGCGAGAGCTGGGAACAGTCAACATCTGCAGATGATGTCCTTCTCTGGAGCACAGCTGCGTGGATTCTGGCTGAAAATTTATACCCTGGGAAGGAGGATAAAGAAGTTAAATGTTACAGTCCTTCTCCAAATCAATTACCATCATTTGTTCCAGGAGCAATGCTGGGAGCCAGCCCTCGCTGAAAGAGGAAAGGTGCAGGGGGACGTGCCCTGCCACAACCTCCCAGGGCCGTGCCCAGAAGCAACACAGGATTTTCCATGGGCCGTGCTGACCCACAAGCTGCAGCAGCCAGCCTTGCCAGGCCCATGGCAGAAGTGGGAATAACGGCACAAAAGTATCCACTGAAGATTTAGAAGAGCTGTGATAACTGGTAAATCAATTGATGGCTTCAGAGATGAGAAGTGCTATCTGAGTTAACAGAAAAGATGGGTACAGGCAGGGCTTTGGGACTGGCTGCTGGTTACATGTGAAGACAGGCGCCTACAAGCGTAAAGCTGTGTAATGCTGATTTTATCTTGGAAAAGACAGGAGCACCAGATCAGCCCATCGGTCATGTGCATGGCTGCAGCGACGCTCGCTTTGGCGACGATCCATCCCTTCGGAGCAGGGACCGAAGCCTGGAGCCACAGCTGAGCGAAGCTGAGCTTGGGGACAGATCCGTGTGTAATGTCCCCCCGCCTTAATAAACCTGAGAGTCTAAAGGATGTGGGTCCGATGTAGGAAACTGGATTTTCAAGAGGCATCAGGAGTAGGAAAGGCTGGGCAGGAAAGACCTAATTTCTATCCTGTCACCAGACTTCAGAGCATCTGTAGATGGACCAAATATCTGAGCCCGGTGATCCAGGAGTTTATTTGGCTTACCTCTGGATCTGATTTAATCAGACTCAGCCAGCCCGATAAAACCAGAAGCTAGACGTTGTTTAATGTCTAAAGAATTATTTCTGCTGTCTTCTAATAAAGCATGCTGATGTAAGCTGGAGTTGATAACAAGATC